CTCTCACAGTCCTCTTGTGCTGCTGGACAAGTGAGTAAAGGAACAACACCTGCCGAGGCAATTCCTTTCGTTTTTTTTCTTTTAACTTTGCGAGGGGCATTGCGGGGATTATTAACTTTTTTTTTTTTTTGGGGGGGGGGTTTTCTCGCTGCGGTTCACTTTGAGTTTGTGCGCCGTGTCCGCCGCTGTTGTCGCTGCGTGTCTCCGTGTCTTGTTTCCCCCCACCGCCGGCTGTGCCGCTGACACACCTCCATTTCCTCCTCCTCCTCCTTTCCGCTAGAGGCACCGGCGACGACGGCTCTTTTTTTGTTGTTCGCTGCTGCAGAGCAGCCGCAGGCTGTGCGGCGGGCTTTGGGCCCGCCCCGTCCCTCTCGCCGCGTGCCTTGTTGGGTGTGCGCTGTGCGGCCGGCTTCTCCTCCGCGTGTCTTTGCCCTCGCAGGACGGGGGCGTCGCAATTCGCCTGCGCCGTGCCGTCTGCTGCGGCGTGTGTGCGGGGCTCTCTTTTTTGCGCCTCGCCCCCGCACTTCTCTGCGTGTGTGTGTGAAGGGAGTGCGGCCGCGAGGGGTTCGTCCGCCGCCGCCACGGAGGCGCAGACATTCGCGCTGAGCCAAAATAAAGGAAGACTGCAGGACGCCTGCGGGAGGCAGCGTCACTTCGCACGGCGTCCCGCGTGATGCGTGCGCCCTGCGGGTGCGTCGGTGCACGGGCGGGGCGCGTGGCTGCCGGGGGACTCGGGGGAAGTGGCGGTCGCCGGCACGGCGCCATTGCACGTGCTGCGTGTCGGCAGTGCGCCCGCGGGCGCTTCGGTGGGGCCGCCGGCACGTCCACTTCGTCCGTGTGTGTGTGTGTGTGTGTGGCGGGAGGGAAGAAAGGGCCCTTGTGCCCCGCCGCGGTGTGCGGATTGCCGCTGTTGCTGCTTTTCTTCCTTAACGGGACGGCAGTGCCTCGACCGTTCTTTCTCTGCTTTGTATGCGTTGGTTGAATGCACCCATTGCGCGGGCTGCTGATGTGTCTGTGTGTGTCTCACCCTTACACTTTCTTCTTTTTTCTGCCCCTCGCTAGGCGCTGTGCGTGTGTGTGTGTGTCTGTGCGTGTGCTGCGGTCGGAGGAGTGACGATGGCTGGCCGTGCGTTGTTGCTGTGCGCTCTCTGCGCGCTGTGCTGCGCCGCCGGCGGGGGCCACGCGTCGACTCCGCCTGTTACAGTTGGTGGGGACGTTGAGAAAGTGGATTTGGCCGCAAAATGGCGAGACCTCCTGCTGGGCGACTGTGAGGATGAATTCAAGAACGAAACGGACGAGACGACGAAGAAGGCGTCAATTGCGAAGTGCAAAAAAGAAGTGGAGGACAATATTTCTGCCGTGTTTGGCCCCGCTGGCCGTAATAACCGTCGGGATTCGCCTCCTGCGGTTCACAGCGCGGCGGGCGGCGGCGGCGGAGGGCAGGCGGGTGAGGCGCAGCAGTGGCAGCGGGAGGCTCAAGCGCCAGACCCCACAGAAAGGCAAAATGAGGAAGTGAAAGCGCCGGGGGAGACGCACCCGCAGCCACCGCGAGAGCCGCAGGCTGCACTCCAAGCGTCGCAGGGGGCAGAACCCGCGGGGGAAGCGGCCGCCGGCTCGCCAGGGCCAAAGGCAGCAGCAGCAGCCACCGACGATGCTGCTCGGCCCCCCGTGCAATCTTCTGCCCCGACGCGTGGCGGCGCTAACGCTGACGACGACCGCGGTGAAGGACACACGGCGGGGACTGGCGAAGAAACTCCACCGTCGCGGGACGTGGGGCAGAAGAAAGACACACAAACTGGGGCCGCCGCTGCTTCACAGACAGACGGTGTGCGGCAACCAACACCGACGGAGCTTGTCACCGAAAGCAGCACATCGACTGCTGGAGACGCCAACCCCTCCACTGACGAAGCGGACGAGAACGTCGGGGCCGCTGGCCTTCGAGGCGCGTCGAACGGCACACAGACCGCGGCAGCCGACCGAGAAGTATCCACTACACCGCCGGCTACCGACGCCACCGCCACGAATGCAACGAGCCCGTCTCCAGGCGGCAGCGACGGCAGCGGCGCAGCGGCCGCGCGCTCCGCCCCCACTCTTGCGCTGCTTCTTCTGCTTGCGTGTGCGGCTGCCGCTGCGACGGTGGCCGCGTGAGGAACTGAGTAAGTGAGAAGGAGAGGGCTGTACACACAGCTTGCCCTTCTTCCTCTATTTGTGTGTTCTTCTGCACGGACTCTCTCGCCCTCGCCGCACCCCACGAGGCAGACACACATAGTGTGCTTATATATATACACACAACCACTCATGCAGGCCCGTCGCTCTTCCTTTTTTGTTTTGCACCTGACGAGCCGCTGCCGTCCTGCTTGGCCGCATGGGTACAGCACCGTAACTGTTTTTATCATTCTTTATTGCTTGTTTGTTTTCATTGCTTTCAGTGGGCGACCTC